TTTTGGTTGTGATGTAAGCCACCACAAATATCCCCAAACCCAATGAGCAGGCTGGAGCGAACTTCAAGGGTTAATTCCTCTCCATGGTACCTGATTTACTAGTTGAGCACCCATTCAACACAATGACTGGTGGCATTTATCGCTTGAGCTTCAAATATCTTTTCATTTGAAGTAACCTCATTCAAAGTCTATAATATCAGTACAAGTTCAAGMCTATGCTGAAATTCCGACGCAAGCCAAATAACAGACATAGTGCATATTGCATTTTAGTCACCTCTTATGACGGACATACCTTACATTGATCAAATAAGGTTACGAACTTCCATACTTCAGATTTGTGCGACTATTTTTGTTACCGAACCGGAAAAAGTTATTCGATCTCAGCGTAAGATATTAAATCACTTTTAGTGAAAGAGTGTATGGCTGAACCTCCAGTCAGTGTGCAACCGGGTACTCCTACTCTGATTGCCGAGTCTTAATGTGGTAGCCAGTTTTGAACTGGCCGATGAACTAGCCCATTCTGCGGCAGCGTCCGGGATGATGTGCTAGAACCATGGATTGTAGTGGGGTTCCACACTGTAAATAAAGACGAGACAGATAGTGGGGAGAGAATAGCATTGACAGCAGGCAACAGGAGTGCTACACACCAAGCTACTTCTAGGAGGGTCCAACGCAAATTGTGAACCGATACAGTTCCGTCTCCTTGACGCGCTCTACTTMAGAACTCCTGATTCTGGATTGCCCAGCAATTCGCAGAAGYGAAGGTAGCATGTAGGTGCACAGAGTTCACATCACCTCAGTCTCACTCAACAGGCTTCCAGAAGCGTTCTGAGTGCAAAGAATCAATTTTCCTATTATCTATATACATATGCTAAATTTTTGACTATATTTGTACTTTTAAGATCTAATCTTTTTATAAAAAAATTTTATTCATTATTAGAAGTGACTTAGCTGGCAACATTGGCAAAATCTTTTTGAACCGCTACGTTGCACAAATCTCATTGTTTGTTACGTGCCACAGCCTCATGCGTCGAACCCTTTACCATAACCCTCCACTTCATAAACAACGCCACCAAAAACTAGAACCATATGCCCTTCATCTGTGTCTACACTTGCCTTACCTCATTGTAATAGAGTAATACTATAATCGATACTTAAATAGTCATTTCCAAATTTTAACCAAAWTTCTTATTCAACACTKGTTTTTCTGATGTATCCKGCACATCACAGCACATTAGCAGTCGATCTAGCTGGTTCAAGGGCGTTCAACAAATGGCTCTCACTATTTTTGTGAYTCTTATTYTCAACGAAATATAGTRTCTGAAAGCTTGAATGAGCAGTGAACTGCTAGTGGTTGTGCAGAAGTGTTTGCCTTCTATCTAGCGAAGGCAAATAACCATTCGTCCAGGACGAAATGTGCAGGAGCTCGGCTGATGGGCGCTTGTTGCTTGGTGAGCTATGCTCATATGTATATTTGTGTGTAAATATATTCATGCATTCTTGTTTYTTGAAATTTTTTGGTTTTCACTTTCCGCTTGCATATTTTTTTTCCTATTTACCCATTAAGGATATGTGTTGATTGTTGCATAAAAATTGTCAATTACCGTGAGGCAAGAAAGAATGCTGAGACTTCAGAGCTCAATTTATAACTTATTAACTTCGAATTGGATGTAAATAGCTTTAGTCAGGCCTCGTGGGAGCGTTTCCTTTGTTTCTATATTTATTTTTTTGAATTATTTTCTTAGATTTGCATACCCTGTTGGGTAATAAAGCAATTAAGTTTAATATACTTATGCTTCCCGATGATATCAGTTTATTATTAAGTAGTCGTTCACGTTTTATATAAGGTTTAGGCCGGTAAGAGAATTTGATTCAAATAGTGGAGCGACTAATAAATATTTTATAGAAAGACTAATTTTGATTAAATGTCTTTACTTTGTATCCCCTTTCGGGTAAGCATTTGTGTTCTTCCYATCTGTCATGAAGCTGGTAGTAAAAAAGTGTCTTAGTATATTGATTATAGTGACCATAAAGCAATCAGGCTTAATATATGCCTACCGAYGATATTCGTTTTTTACTAAATTAAAAGAAAAAGCACAGAGGCTAAAAATTTAATGAAGACTTCGTAAAAATATTATTATTTGGCGTTTACTTGTTGAAATTATCTCTTTCAAATGGAGGCAAGGGCTACGTTTCAGATGATCYAYCTGTTTAGTCCAATTTTCGATGACTCATTCGAWCATTTCTACTGGAAATTAKACTTTAAAATTATCTGCTCTTCGAAGTGTTCTCTCMATAATAAATTAATTTATTGATGCAATTGAARTCAAATATTTCCGAGATAATGGTCGCTATTGACGGTTACGTTCTCAYCRTCATCATATTTSACGAAATAATGATTTAACGGGCTTACAAACCACTCAAAACCGTATTTATTTTCTAGACGAAATGCAAGMTCTTGAAACTCTTCAGGGTGCTGTAGAATATATATACCTATATTCTCGCCTAAACACATTTCTTCTAAAACTCAGAATACTGCTTAGTCATGCTGCAGCTTCAACTCTGCTTAACTTGGAAAAATTCTCAAACTACCGTTAACTCTTTCTAGAGACGTCACAGTCCTGTTGCTTATTAAATACATTTCTTTACATTTTTGGCCCGGCACGTTGCTTGCAACATTGGCAGTCGGTGATATGGGTTTAATGTTTAATGGAGCAATAAAACGGCTCGACAAGACTTGTATAGCGCGCCACCACCGCCGTTGCGCTATTCGAATTCGCTCCGGCACGTTTCAGCTTTTACCGATCGTCACTCTTGTACTCGCTTATCTTTGTTTCTTCTCTCTTACCACAACTTCGTCACAAAGTGTTTTGCATGCGAAATGGCATCAACGTGGCTGACTTACTGACTGACAGCGAACGACAAAAATCAATTATATAAAAGCAAAAAACAACAACAGCTCTATTAGTTTAAGCGACATCCACAAACAACAAAAGCAACCACTAAAACCCAACGTAGCGTAATAAATTTAAGGGTAATGACGCGGTAACAGTATAAATAAAAACCAGTAAGAACCGTTAAGTTGCTATACAAAATTATGTGAGCGTGTAGTGGGGAGTAGCGCTAAATAAATTTTTGTTCGCGATTGATGGGGGTCGATTTTTAATTGTTTACTTATTTTAAGATGAAAAAATTTTTCGTTTATTTTTTTCGAGACATTTTAACTAATAACTATACTTTTCTGTACTCATTTCCGTTTTAATTCTATTTTTAGATGACAATTTTCATTGAGAATGCATCGGTCGCGAAACGCCTGAACGCYAGTCAAGCTTTCGATGATACTTGGAACACYGCCTCCGATTTGGAGAATGAACTTGAAGTGAGTGAATATAATATTATATATGACTGCACAAATTTCATATATTTAGAGAAGTAGCTTGCTTGGTGTCGCAGAGTGGCGTGGCAGGGTTAAAAAGATAAATGCATCGAGGGCCTTAACACTTGTTGCCTTAATCCATTCACCTATGTCACCAGTTTTAAACTTATATACATCTTAAGAGACAAGACATCTACTCCTGAACAGATTGACCTCACTTAACCTCAGCAGACTGGCCTAAAAATTAGTAGAAGGTGCCTTAAATCTAAACATACATCTATCTCTTTCTAAACATATATCTGTCTCTTAATATTATTATCGATTTACATATATACTTGATATAGATARATCTTTTAAACCATCAACAAAATATCTAAAAATATAAATTCCCAAAACTTGGCATCTAGGCTCGTTTTCTATTTTAATCAAAAATAAAAATAGACTTTTCAAATAGACATTTACGATTTCAAACAATGATTTCTCGGACCGTTTTTTGGCCAACAGAAAATTAGAAAATAGAAGCATCAATTATATTAGGTAGTCAAAAAAGTCTTTTCGTATTTCTAATCAAAATTCAACTTTTTTTTGTATTTATAATGAACTTTAATGAACTATTTTGAASGAACACTTTTTGTCATTTTTTCCGTTAGAGACATTATTCCATCGGTGTAAAACTTTTCTGGTTTTGGCGAGAAACTGTGACAAGAAATTTTCACAGGCTTCTCTTCTCCCCATTCAGAGAGTTTTGCATTGACCGAAACAAATGATAATCCGATGGTGCAAGGTCAGGGCTATATGGTATATGCATCAAAACTTCCCAACCAAGCTCGCTCAACTTTTGTCGAGTCATCAAAGATGTGTTGGATCCAGCATTGTCCTGATGAAAGACGATGTCCTTTGTGCTGATCAATTCTAACTGTTTTTTTTTTCGATTGCTTGCTTCAATCTCAATGTTGACAGTAAAATGAAGAATCAATCGTTCGACCAGATTGCAGCAGCTCATAGTGGATGATGGTGATACCTTTCCAATCCCACCAAACACCCAGCATAACCCTTCGAGGCGTCAATCCTGGCTTCGCGACCATTTGCTGAGTTTCATCACGCTTGGATCATGATATTTTTCGCACATTATTGTCGGATTTGATCCACTTTTCGTCTTCTGTTACGATTTACTTCAGAAATTGTTCGATTTCAATTGGCTTCAACGAAGAATCGCGGATGTTAATTCGTTCCATTAAATTTTTCACAGACAATTCATGTGGTAGCCAATCATTAAGCTCCTTTTTGTAGCCTACCTTTTTTAAATGGTTCAAAACCCATTGATGCTGAATGTTCAGTTGCCATGGCTACTTATGTGACGGCCCTGGTCAATATTTTCCATAATTTCAACAATTTTTTCAACGATATGTCAATCACAGGGAGCTGCATCTTTCACATCGAAATTTTCAGAACGGAACTGTTGTGCTAGATGAACTGATACAGCATTGTCTCCGTAAACTTCACATTTCGTTGTTGGCTTACGTGACATTCTTCCCTTTCTTATACAAAAATTTCAATTTGTAGCGAATTTCTTCATTATTTTCATTCATTTTGAACAGCAGCAACTTTTTGTCGACTTCCCTGAATTAATGTTTTTTTTTTTTTTTTTAGTTAAATTTTTAGTTAATGTGATTATTAGCACTGGAGATATACGACTGCAACGACATCTATTGACAAAATACGAAAATACTTTATCGACTACCCAATATATGCCAATATTTAGGTGGGCAAAACTTAACGCTTTAGCGATATAAAGTTATCGGAATCTATCCTTAGAAAATATTTACTTTTAGATTTCATCTTAAAAACATTCAGAGACGTGCTCTCGAAGCACTGCTGCCACACCATTGCAAATAGTCTTAGTATTAAATTTATTTATGTATGTAGTTGAGGAAGCCTATTTGCTAGCGCTTCCGCATTTATGTATTTTCGTTTTCTTTGTTTTTCGCTTTTGCTTTTTGCTGTTGTCTCTTCTCCCTTATTAATTTAGTGCATGTTGCAGCAAAAGCGTGCCAAAAGCAGCAGCAGCAGCTCATCATCGTCGGGCAGCAAAGATGGCCAATGGTCCGGTTGGTCGGAATGGTCGACCTGTTCACGTACCTGCGACGGCGGCATTATGCAACAAATACGCCGCTGTTACAACACAAACGGCTGCAAGGGCGAAACCATACGTTATCGCATCTGCAACATGCAGCCATGCCCCGAGCTGCAAGACTTTCGGGCGCATCAGTGTGCCGCCTACAACGATGTGCCCTACGACGGTACACTGTACACGTGGACGCCGCACTACGACTATGTGGAGCCATGCGCCCTAACATGCAGGTGAGTGTTCTAATGTAATATCAAACAATCATATGTATTATGTATACGCAACACACAACCTCTGTCCATGCAAGAAACATTTAGCGATAAATGCATCCGCCAGGACACGCCGTTCTGTCCGTTTTGTATGTTTGGTGATGATTTTTTCTTCCTTTTCCTACCCCGCGCCGGCATCGAATATCAGTTGGTCGAAATTTATGATTACGTGTGCCACGCGAAATTCGTGAAAATGTGTAAATATAAATGTGTCTAGTGGAACCGTACACAATTCACCGCATCCACAAAAGCAACCTCAATTTATGGCTTTCACTTGAACCGTAGATCAAATTTAGATGCGCTTTGCTAAGAGACGGTTACAGCACGATTTGTCCACAGCTATCATTTGGTGCGTTGACCTTTAGGACCAGTTTCGGTTTTCCGTTATCATTTCATGCAGAAGTTTGTTTACCGATAGGAAATGTATACGAATAACAAAGTTTGAGTCAGAAAGTTGAAAAATGCAAACACATCCGTCAAATCTACAGTAAAGTTTTTTAATATCAGACTTTAATTTAAACTCTTGGTAAGAGAGATTCTCATCCTTAGGCTTCGGTTSGAAAAGCCAACAACCAGTTYSCTCATGTTGTGATGGACGGAAGACAAGTCTCCAGTGTTTTAGACGTGCGTATCCGTATAACCCGAAGCCCTAGCATTGACTCAGACCACAATCTTGTTGCAGCGAAGATACGCACCCGCCTCTATGTAGCAAACAACGCACATCAGTAAACACGGGGAAGGTTTGATGAGAAGCTGCAATCACAACAGACAGCCCAGCGATTTTCTACTCGACTTGCGCTCCTGCTTTCTAAGATCACTCTTGAGCAACTTAGTATAATATAAGAAAGTGTGAGACGACATTTCAAGCTCCTTACGTACAGCTGCAAACGAAGCTATTGGTGGTAGGGGTAATGCTAGAAAATTCTACGAAAAAAATTCGGCCACAATAAGAAGCTTTCGAAACTGTAACTTAATCTTGTAGAACCCCCTGAGCTGATCTAGTGACTGATGCCCAAAGCATACCAAAATTATGGAGGGAACACTTATCCAGCCTACTGATTTGCAGTGAGAACAGGAGATGGTGAACCCGATTACCGAATCGAAGACGATGGAGCAGACGTTCCATTGCCCGACCAAGAAGAAGTTCGAAAAGCAATAGTAAGGAGCATGCATTAGCTTCATTGTGGAATATGGTCAAACGAAGATATGCCGAATTGGAATTTTATTGYATATAAGATTCTACCAAGCATATTATGTGAAAGATAAAGTCCGCCAACAAGCTGATTGGACATTATCAGYGTGGCTTTAGGTCTGGAAAAGCAAGAASTGACCAGATTGGAACCAGCATTAACACCAACAACAAAGTTATCCTCAAAATCCAAAGCCGAATATCTCTTGCCATCAGGTGCTGCTTCGCTCGAAATAAGTTGAGAAGCAAAATCCTCTCCGATGAACAAAGACCAACCTCTACAAGTAATCCCCGTCCTGCTATATGGTGTAGAGGCATATGCGATGATAATATCCGATAAGTAGGCGTTAGCAGTTTTCGAGAATATGGTCCTATGCGCATAGGCAATGGCGAATATCGCATTCGTTATCGTTGATGGAACGATGAGCTGTACAATGTTGGATCCCACTTTGGTAGCTTAGAACGTCRTTTCATTGTGATACCTAAATAGTCCTAAATATTGATCGCAAAGATTCTCACAAATCGAYAAAGGGCTTTAGGCGAGCGACAAATTCGTCGAGATAACAATACCATGCTCGCCAACGACATGACTACCGAGACACTTCAGTCTTACGCACCCTCACCTTTCTCCATACAACTTGACAGTTAGTGAAAGCCTAATCCCTTTAACTCGGGTTTATAGCCAACTCATGACAGGCGATAGTTAATTCCCCACGCGTCTTCGAACCAATTCTTCATAGTACATTTTCATATATTTTTGAATGACTTTCTTATTAGCCAACATTGTCATAACACAACTGTCAATTCAGTTATTTAACTTTAATTTATTATCTAAAATTTCAGAGGCCGTCCAGCTCATTTACATTTGGGCGACAGCGCATCATCCGAAGTGGTTGAGGATCCCGAACACTATGATGATCATGTGATCGTACAACTGTCGGCGAGCGTACAAGACGGCACACGCTGTCGAACGGGCAGTCTCGATATGTGCATACAGGGTAAATGCCAGGTGAGTGATAATTAATAAAAGTTCTAAGATTTCGCTTTGTCATGTCAGGTAATTCAAAACGATTATTAAATTAGCGCTGCGTGCAAAATTATGAAAGTTTTAATGAAAAAACCAATTTCGGCATCAAGGGAAATGTGAAGCGTTTGAGTAATTTAAAGAACGCAAATAGATTCTCTCTTATTGCTAGGGTAACTAAAGTTATTGACAGCGACAACGGCAATGACAACGGATGTGAACAAAACATGATGGCGTGTTGTTTATAATTTCTCGCCGTATTCTTGTTATACGAGTAATATCAATATTTGTTTTTGTATGGTTTTGYTTTTACATTTTTGGCTTTGCTGTGCTTYYATTGTCAATAAAAAGCCTACACAATTTTCAAAAAGTTATAGCTTCCCGCAACTACATTATAACAAGCATACAATTTTAATGACATTTAAATCCAAATTGTGTGGTAACTCGATATGAGGCTCCTGTTAACTAAAGTTACGAACGTTGACATTATTTTATTGTTAGTGTTTTAGTTGCTACATGTTTTCTTTCAATGTTCGTGCAAAATCGTTTGTGCCTCTTGAACTTACTCACACACCACTGAACTCATAAGGATGACTAGTACAGACATATAGTATAAACAGACATAACAATAGCCATAAAGAAGACTAGCAAGGCTCATAAAATAAATCTGTCTAATATTTCGCGTTGTTGAAAAGAAATGGCAGCTAGTATAAGTTTGTAGGCAAACAAATAAATCATTCGTTACCACAAAAGCCACAACTCCACGAATGAAGTTTTGTSTGGCAGTCTACATTACATAAAATGTCTACCTACATACCACTAAACATTCATATGTACGTTCTTCCCAGCAAATGTAAGGTGTATGTGAAATATATGTTTCTGGAATGTCTTTTGAATGGCAATAAAACACTTTAAGGGGCCTTTYGTGAGATTTCATGCTTACTGCCACATATTTCTTCGCACATTACATTGTTGCCGCAAAACGAAATAAAATAAAAGTATTATCTTTATATATAAAAAGTACATGTCACTTTGTTTGTCAGCGATAGACACYTAAACTACTGAACCGATCTTACTAAACTTTAGCACAGTGTATTCAGTTTGAACCAACTTAGAAGATAGGATAGTAAAAACAATTCATAAACAAAAAGTACAGTAAAATATCTATTAAATGGATGCTCTATTGAGCGAATATCTCCATTAACCATGCACATTGTTGATGTTTATTAAGTAGAATATATTAAGCGGACAACTCTATTAACTTGAGAGAAAGGCTGGTAACCAGAACTTGAAAAAKCAGCCTTAAATTCGTTATTTTAAATTTATAAACGCCACAATGTCATGCGTTTCTTCGGATATCCGAGCTTAAATCCAATGTTTGTGTAGAGYTTTGAGTACCAGCACCTTGTAATTTTCGACGCAAAAGCACAGGCGATACAAATCCAAACTTAGCCGACTAWATAAATAACTTTAGAAAGTTCAAGTGTGTACCACTATGAGCAAAACCTGGAAATACTTTGTTTACAATATAAAAATTCTCAGTTTATTCTTCAAAATCTAAGTTGCCCCACTCAAATTAATCACCCATGACAACAATACACTAATGCCAACGTTTTTTCCAATCCACGAAACAGTTTTTAAAGTAAATTTYAGGAATAACCTTCAATGCGCATAACGATTCAGATTTAATGCCTTCAACTGTCTCTAACGGTTACCCCGGAGAAGTTGTTTGAGTTMACTGAATAGTCAAAAGTCACATGAAACTAAAGCAAAAGAATACACTTTGTGCGGCACGATATTGGTTGAACGTTTGGCGAAAAACTCACAAAGAATTAGTGCAGTATGCGACAGTACAAAAACCAAGCGTTGTCGGCCATTAATTCTGACCCCGTTTTGGGAATAGTTTTGCGCAAACGACGCATAATACTCAAGTAATATTTCTTGTCGATAGTTTGGACGGTCGTAAGGAATTCGGAGCGCACCACATCTCGATAATCGAAGAAAATTGTAAGCATAAAGTTTATTTTTGAACAACTTTCAATGCTTTTTTTGACTTTGGCTCACTTTTCCCACCAAATTCGGCCGAATAGTCGTATGTTTCCGAGTTGCGAACATACATCCAAGACTCAGCGCCAGTAATAATACGTTTCATGACGTCTTGATAGTCGGAAAGCATTGTTTCATGAACGTTAACGCGATATTGATTTTCGCAAAAAATGTAGTGGTTTTGGAAACAATTATGCTTTCACTTTCAGATCTTTTAAAATGGGTTCCCACTGATTMTTCCGWCATTCCAACGATGCCAGTAAGATCTCTTACTGTYAATCGTCGATTCTCAAGCACCATTCCTTTATTTCAGCGGCRAGTTGATCATCTGTCGTCGTCAACACGTTCTCGACCCTCTTTRAATCAAAAACACTTGCTGGCGACAAACAATTACCACCCAAACCTTTTCCATCAATCTGAACGTTTTGACGCCACAAATTTGATTCCACGCACACAAAATTTAATGAAKCTTTTTRGTTGAATAATTTCACTCATCGTAAAATTCGCCGAATGCACTTTATRTATTTCAGAAAGACAAGCGTTTACTAAACACTAATGRCTATTTYRATATTACAATTGGCACAGATGTTACTRATAGTCATATCAATGTAGAAAAAAGATATCGGGTTTTGCACGAAATTTAGATTCAAAAGTCCACACCCACAATAGTATACACAAGCATAAAATGAGAAGATGTCAAGGTCATTTTGTATGTTGTGTATTCACACATAGTTCTATCTTTGGGTTTTGGCACCAGCTGTCAGTGAAAAGATGCAAAGGATGTGTGTTAGCTCCGTATGCTCTGCCCGAAATTACAGTTACTCACAGTTTAGCCATCAGGGACGATGTGGGTGGCACTAAAGGTGAGGGTGTGCTATCAATTTTCAAAAATTTCCATAAAGAGTCATAGAGCCAGAAATGAAATTTCCTTTTGTATATGTTATAATTATATAAAAAGAGTAACCAATATTTTTTTCCATCTTTACTGCGTGTGTGAAAGAACTACTCACTTCCCAATATACATATGATTTGACTTTTTGAATAACAAAAAACCGTCCTTGTAAATKAGTGTCATTTTAAGACAAACGTTTTCAGCTAGCTGATTACAGTCATCCCTTCAAACAGACGTACATMTACCGAAAAAACATAGGCGATATAGGCTTTTATAGGGAATATCTGTTATACAAGATGTAYGAACAAAATAAAGTTATTGCATGGAAAACTTTTTTATTTGACGAGATACATTCTCTAATTACTTACCCTCATATTTGTATATTCCTTACCATATTGTTCTATTGCTAAAAGTTGTAGCTATCTAAAAACTTAATTACATTCGCATTCTCCTTTCAGCGCGTCGGCTGCGATTTAAAAATCGGTTCGACGAAGAAGATCGACAGCTGTGGCGTTTGTGGCGGAGACAGCAGCACTTGTTCGCAGCCACTTTACTATTGGGAGACAGCGCCAACAACACAATGTTCGGTGACATGTGGCGGAGGTATGTGTAGAAAAAGCAATAAAAACAATAACATTATTATCATAAACAATGGCTACGCATTCATATTTACCTCCATATAGTATGTAYATATGTATAATAGCTTGAAACAATAGGCCACCTCATTCAGCCGCTCAGTGTGCCAAAAAGGCGCCACTTATGAAAACATCGCGACAATAAAGTAAATAAGCAGACAAACAAATTTAAATGTATCACATTATTGGGACAATATTCGTGCGGGGTCTACAGTAGGGCATGATTTGACAACAGTTCACTGTAGAAGGTGCTAGCAATCAGAACTTTCAAAAACAAACTGCGCACAGCTAGCAGGATTTGTTCGCATATGGTGCTTCAGCTATTTTTAGTAACATTGTTGTATTGTTGTGAATGTCGGTGAACAGCACCGAGTATAAGCAAACCCTCTTAAGTAATACGATACATTCCCGTACAGCGCGTTTTCACGTCTTGAATATCACTCCAATACGACGCACTAAATTCGYTYGTTAGAAGTTGGCAGTCGTGCCAATTCAGGACTCGCGTGTCGTCGTTCAGTTTGTAATCCTCAACAGCGCCATCAGCTTCACGGCAATCCCCCAACAAACGCTTTGATTGCCCACCTGCCAAGCATCGCTGATAAAAGTTCGAATGCAAATTTCGCATGTCAAATTTATTTTGTTTTTCTTTGTTTTATACAGATATCTTTGGGCCCGAATTCCCACTTGACATAGGTACGCACATATTTCTCGTATCTTTTAGCTTCTCAACTGCGTGCTTCGTGCCATTTTGGCATTGTGCCGWTTTGTTTTGAGTAACAAATCACTGTGACACATATTTCAAGTACATGTTCGCTCCACTTTTATTTTGTTACGAGTTTTGTATTCTTTCGTGGAAGGAGTGCGCCATACAGACGATTCGCTGAGTCATTATGATTCGCATACTAAGCTTTTGTTGAGATTGCCGCTCAGTATAATATAAGGATGAATGTATATCCAAATATTGAAAATTGTGACTTATCACGTARTTTTGTTTTGACTACACTCTGCGATATAAACGCAGACTCATTTTCATATTAGTCCACATATGTTTTCAAAATGTAGCACAGGATATTTACCACAAACAGATATGTAGGTTTCAAGAATTTAGRTTATGACATTAAAAACTATTTTAAATGGTCTTAACTTTTATGCATCAAYGTATGTTCTCTTCAAATGGTTTGATGTTGCTTTTTAAAAGTAAATCAGAAAAAAAAGATTTGCACGAATATACCCACATTTTATTTTAGCTCAATTCACTAAAGCTACAGGTTTAAAAAAATTTAATTTAGATTTTGAAACAAAAAAATTAAAAGAAGCCAGATTATATTTTGGTTGAAGATCGAAAATTTTGATTCGGTGAAAGCATATGCAAAAACGAGCTTTAATATCATTCAGGTGTTTAGAACGGAACAAATAATACTGAGTCTAAAAAAAAAAAGAAGGCTTCAAGCCCGTAGCATACTCTATCCCCAGAGGGGATCTAGAGACTGATGGCCATTGCTTACTGAAATTATGGACGAAGCACTTCTCCAAAGGCTAGGTCATGTCGTACATATGGACGAAAACACTCCAACTCAGAGAGTGCTTGACACAGTATCCTTCGGGGAAACAGAGGAAGAGGAAAACCTCCACTCCGTRGGAAAAACACAATGGAAAAGGACTACAMTTGGAATCTGCAATTGAYGACGAACAGCGAGAAGAACGATATATTTTACWTAATGCGATGATCTCCATAAAATAATGATTTTACGACTGAGTTTGATTTGTATTGACTTCGAAAGTCGCGAATCTTATGTTTCCAGAACTCAGTACTGGCGGCAAAGCTGGCCCCATCTTAAGAAAAAAGTTAGAATTATCACCCATCTCAATCTTAAGTTCCTCGATATGATAACTTTATGAAATGGTACTATTTTCTAGAAAAAATTTTAACAAGAGTGTCTACAATATAAGAATAATAACTTTAGAGCTTCCACATCATTTACATAAAAGACATCCCCTTATACACATACTAAATTTGGTACATACACATTAAATATAACTAATAGCAGTCACAATCAATCATGCCAAAAAAGTGCTTCTAAATAATTCAAATGTATGATAAATGGAGTTTTCAAGTTGTCCATGTGTACATAATTAAAACTAATTACCGACTAGGCGATAAAGGCCCTTCGAAAGACAAATGTAATTGCAAACGAATAGCACACAAGTTCAGACAGCCCGTAATGGCTATGTACACATATATCTTTTACTATATAAATACATATGTGCGTAAGAAAATATTATAAACGAAAGCTATTAAATGAAAATACCGACAATTTCTCGCAAACATTGATGAAATTTCATCATTTATTCATTTACTACATATTTCCAACTGTAATTGTAACAACTCTTAAACGATTGTAAGTCATCTGTAATTGATTTCACCATAAGCAAATCAATAACTTCTTCTGCCAAACACATTGTGTGCACGTATTAGCCAAGTGCCCACAATGGTCGAATAAATTTCTCCAAAAAAGGCTTAAAGAGATTTACGCACGAATATTAAATGTTTGAGCGAGCGCATAGTCAATGGTGGTGATTAAAGGAAGAAAGACCGGGTGCTAAAGARCTATTAAGCGGCACGCAATAAGCGAAAGACAGAAATACTTGTAAACAAACGCTTAACTGAAAGCTGAAGTAGCTAAGGAATGTAGTAAAAGTTAATGAATGTGTGTATAAAAGTACATTCATTTTGTGGGATGCCTATTCCTAAGCGCTTGTCATATTTCTTGCYTGCTGCTCGCTATATTCTTTTTGTGGCACGACTACTTTAAACTGTATGAAATTTCGGTTGAAGAGGTTTTCGCATAGACAAGTACATAAGTGCATACATATAAAAGATTTTCTTTTAGCGGTCCTCATGAATACATATACAACATATGGCATATTCTTTTAAAGTATGTGTTTTAAAAGGGTGATCCATTTCAATGTTCCTAACTTTTTAAAGAAAAAAGCAGAAACTTTTAATTAGAAATTTAATGCGAAATGTTTATTGTAATGCGAACGAACATTCTTTGGCATTTATTTTTTGAAGATTATCTCTTTCAAATGTTCCCCATTAATACAGTCTAAGGTGGCCCATCCATTGAGTCCAATTTTCGATGGCTTGTTTGAGCACTTCGACTGGTAATTGGCGAATGGCACGGCGTGATATCAAATGGTGTTGTTCTCACCAGCATCATTTTTGACGAAATATGGATCGATAATTCCACAGACATTCAAACCAAATCAAACCGTTGGCTCCTTTTACGAAATGGCAGCTCTTTAATCTCTTCAGGTTGCTCTTTGTAGCAAATGTGGCAATTTTACTTGTTTGCATACTTATTGAGCTAGAAATAGGCTTCAACGCTGAACAAAATTTGGCTCGAAAACGTCGGAACTTCTCTTAACTTTTCGAGAGCTCATACAACGAAGCGTTGTCGCGTGAGAAGGTCGTACGATTTCAGTTCTTGCATAAACTGTAATTTTGTATGCTTTAAATTTAAGATCATGACGTAAAATTCGCCAAGTCGTTTCATACATCAAACCGAGCGTTTTCTAACGGCACCATGCGATTGTCCACCATCTTCGTGTACACTCTCAGCTACGGTTTATATTACGTTGTCAAAAAAGTCTTGCGGTATTTGCTAGTTTTATTCGTCGCATCGAGTCATGCTAWACCTTTTTGGAAAGCTCATTTCACGCGCTAGCACGTGTTTGATTGATTGTCGTTTTTTGAAGTCGTTCGTGAGTTATAGCGTCGCAAACATGGAGCAAAATAAAGAGAAAATACGGCATATTTTACAGTACTACTAYRATAAAGGCAAAAATGCATCTCAARCCGCCAATHAAATTTGTGYAGTTTATRGACCCGATACAGTTTCYATTTCCACCGCACAACGATGGTTTCAACGTTTTCGTTCTGGTGTAGAGTTGGTCGAAGATGCGCCACGCTTCGGAAGGCCTTTCGTCGAAAATTGCGATAAAATCGCTGAATTGGTCGAAAGAGACCGGCATAGTAGTAGCCGTAGCATCGGTCAAGAGCTGGGCAAGAGTCATCAAAAAAATTTATGAAAAACTGATAATTCAATAAAAATTACCGCAAGACTTTTTTGACAACCTAATATATAATATTTTCTTCACGGCGGGTTGGACGTGGTCTATTCGGTCGATACTAATCCAGTAATGAATGCTGGGTCTCTGGATGGGTAAGGGTGATGTGAATCGTACGCTCATTACTACGTGGTCATGTTGACTTAAATTAACTTAAATTTTCGTTATAAAATTTAACGGTTTGAAGAAACTATTTAGGCGTAAAACTTTCCATGATAAAATTACAAACAATACTGAGCAAAAATAGCATGACAACTTGAGACGACACACGCGTGATCTGTCAAAAACAGGCTAWTGAAAAAAGTGYCTCTACTTGAATTACCAGTAATATATTTACCTATTTGTTTATATAGTATGCATACCTTGCTTGCTACGTTTTATGCAATTTGTCAACTCTCTTAGACGCCATCAATAACAATTCCACCTTTCTGCCCACAGAAAGCCTATAATGATAGTGCTGAAATCACGCTAGTAAGATAGGACATTTATTTGTTTCCTTCGAGGCTGTCAACCGCATTCCTCTCTTTTCTTCAAGTTAGGAGCTTTTTATCCGTATGCCTTCACTTTGGCTTTTACAAGTACTTGTACTGTTATTAATCCCTTGGATATACTATCGAAGCATAAAAAGCCAGGGTGAGTCTGATTTGGTGATTATTTCCTGCGGCTAGTTGAAAATGAGTATTTTTGTTTTTGTTGCTGTCATTTGTGTTTACTTCATCAGTTATGTACACCGATAAATGGCGTTGGAATTTCTTATTAGATTTTTCAGCTTCAAGGTTCTTACTGTTCATTAAAGTGTTTCAAGGTCAATTAAGTTGGATTAAGTTTTAGGTAGTAAATACCAGTAATATTTTGGATTTATCTGCATTTGATGCATKTACTTATATTGGTATTAGTTGGACTACCTTTATATGCATATATCTAATTGAATGAGTTGTACAACTCATGGAGCAAAATCGAAATCGAATTAGAGAATTTGACTATACAAATCATCACATAAACTGTAAAACAACGTATCATCAGAAAACTCGAAATTTTTTTATTTTTTTTTTTATTTTATATTTTTTTATTGCTCACGATTCACTACAACATGTTACAAATATGTAGCATCATAATTCTCAATCAAAATTTAAATGCGAGATCATTTGAAATTTATTTCCAATTCTGTTTTATGGTGCGCGATGATACCCAATAAATCAATACAGACGATGACAGTCGCATGCTGTTCCGCTAATGCCACACAGTCTGTAGGTAGCTTGCWGGGTGCACTTGATAAGTTTTGTCTKGAGTAMTCATGTATGTACCTACATRGCATATATTTCTATACAGTGCAGCCATCGTCTCATAGCAGCACTTTCACGTTGAGTCAACTGAGCTTATGCTCTGTGGGAAACGCGAGACAACACTTCCTTTATTATTATTATTTTTTTTTCAAGAGAAAAGTTCGCCTGCTTCAAGGTTGTGTGACACAGTCGCTCCTATCTCGTTTTAACCTTTTTTTTTTACTTTTCTTCCACATGGTGCCGTTGCAACGCAGCCACTTAGCTCTGCACTGACTCTCCATCCTTCGGTGTCGCCTGTGGCACTCTCTGTGCTTGAGTTTTTAAGTCTACTGGTTGGGGTTATTATCTTCTTATATTMATTTTTAGCAGCGTTACTTTCACTTAGTCTGGCGTTCAGGCATATTATCGATTTTTTACTTTCATTGATAGAAATTGATAGAAATAATCTTTAATTGCCACCCAATATACATATATAGCATTTTACATTTCACAAATTTCTTATAATTTATTTTCTGCATTTCTGTTATTTACTTTGTATTCATTCACTCTCTCTCTCACTTTTGTTTGTTTCGTCCGCAGGCTATAAGATGTCTCAACCGTTGTGTCGAAACCGTGTCACTGGCGTAGAAGTCGAGGACTCCATGTGCGGTCCCCAACGGCCGGAACCGTCGGTGCTGCTYTGCAACACGCACACCTGCCCACCAAGGTAAGTTTGTGGCATTAAGTTGACATTGRCTAAATTAGATTTTATCTTCTATTTCTGTGGAATCGTTTATCATTTCGCTTGCTTGCTATCCCTCTTTGTCTTATCTTTTGTGTATAATCTTTACAAGTTTAACTAYTTGATACTCTTTAAAAAAGAAAAACCTAGTCTTAGAGGTCATTCGAAAAAGTTTACAGTGCCTGAGGAAAATTAAATACTTAAATATTGAAAATTGTGGCATCTAAAACAAAACTAAGAACTGACTGCTTTTACTTAATATATMTTCATCTTCTTTATTGTCGTAAACAAGGCCTACGCGGTATATAAAAATAAATATAAATATGAACTAAAATATTGATACGTAGGTTGCCTTTTATACGGTATTTCGGGATTCAAGAACAAAAACTAATTTTTGTCATCGAAACTGTCGTTATTGTTTTTCAAAATAATCTCCACTAGATCTATACACTTTTGCATGGGTTTGAAGCAATTGTCGAAACACTTTTGCCACTCTGACTGAGGTATCTCCAAAACACACCTTTTGAATGCATCAACCACCTATTAAGATTTTCGTTTATTTTTGACGAACGGGAATATAAGGAAGTAATTTGGTGCCAAGTCACGACTATGCGGAAGATGACTCATCAAGTCGATGTTTTGAATGCTCAAAAATGCAGTTTTTTCAGGCAATGTGTGTGAGATCTAGTACCGTTGTCGTGGTGAAGAATAATCCCCCTTCAGCGGTTGGTTTTCTTAATTTTTTTTTTTTTGAAGACAACTGGCAAAAAAATGATTTTTTTTTACTACTCAGAATTTACTATTCTGCGTTGCTCCAGTGATATGGTTGCGACATGTCTAGGTTTTCCAAAAAAACAGGCAACCATTTGCTTGAAGTGCTTCGTGCGCAAACCACCCTTGTTGCATTCGATTCATCTTGAAATGCCCATACAGTCGACTGATCTTTACGTTTGTGGCGCTTACGCGTAAATCCACGTTTACCTATCTGTCTCATAGACGTATTTCGATGCACCGCCATCGAAGTTTTAACACTTCACTTGACTAATCGACATGAGCCTTTTTTGTGCGATCGACTAATTGTATGAAAATATTTTTTTACACTGAAATGTCTAAGCAATACATATTGATTATACTACTGTGATCAAATTGAAAGATGAATTTTGTCCATTTCGCCTTCTTCAAAGTAATCCCCGCCCGCTGCAATACACTTATGGCAGCGAGTTTTCCAGTCATCATAGCACTTGGAAAAACCCTCCGGCGTGATGGCTATCAGAGCCTTATTAAATTCAGCTTTTATATCCTCAATTGAGTCAAAAGGGTGTCCTCGGAGCTGTCTCTTATACACATCTTTATCGTTTTGCCACACCTGAGAAGGCGGTTAATGTGTTCAAAAAGCATTTTTGTTACTCTGACTGAGGTATCTCCAAAACACACCTTTTGAATGCATCAACCGCATATTAAGGTGTTGAAAAATGTTGACCTATTCGTTTATTTTTGACGAACGGGAATATAAAGAAGTAATTCGGTACCAAGTTAGGACTATGCGGAAGATGACTCGCCAAATTGATGTTTTGAATGCTCAAAAATGCAGTTTTTCCGGCAATATGTAAGGGATCTATTACCACTATCGAGGTGAAGAATGTTCCTTCTTCGGCGATTGGTTTTCTTGATTTTGTGAAAGACAACAATGATTGTATACTACTCAGAATTTACTTACTTATTTTCCAGTGATATGGTTGCGACATATCTATGTTTTCAAAACAAAAACAGGCAATCATTTGCTTGGAAGTGCCTCGTGGGCAAACCACCTTTGTTGAATTCGATTCATCTTGAAATACCCATGCAGTCGGCAGATCTTTACGTTCGGGCTCATACGCGTAAATCAACGTTTACCTATTTGTCATTTACCTATGCACCGCCATCGAATTTTTAACACTTCTCTTGACCAATCGACACGAGCCTTTTTTGTGCGATCGACTAATTGTATGAAAATATTTTTTTACACTCAAATGTCTAAGCAATACATATTGATTGTACTACTGTGATCAAATTGAAAGATGAATTTTGTCCATTTCGCCTTCTTCAAAGTAATCCCCGCCCGCTGCAATACACTTATG